GGACCCGCAGGGGGGGGGGAAGGGCCCAGCCCGGCGAAGTCCGCCAGGCGGTTAGCCCGGACGTCGAGCTCGCAGAGCCGCGGGAGGCCGGCGAGGCCGGCGAGGCTGTGGAGTTTGTTGTGCGAGAGGTCCAGCCGGCGCAGCAGCCGCGGCAGCGCGCGGACCTGGCGGATCAGGTTGTAGCTCGCATCCAGCGCGCGGAGGGCGCGCAGGGCGTGCAGGCCCTGCAGCTCGGCGATCTCATTCCGGGAGAGGTCCAGCGAGGTGATCAGGCCGAGAATCGCCGCGATCTCGTCGTCGGATTGCAAACCTGGGCCGGGATGGCCAAAGACTAGGCCGAGATCGATCTCGCGGATGGCTTTATTGCGCCCGGAGACATGGAAGCCATGGCGCGGTGGCCGGGCGCTGTCCCCGGAGGAGGACCCCACACTCAGCGGGCATAGGGAGGAGGTGTGCATTGCTAGGCGATTTCTTTTGTGGTGAAGAGACCGAGCCGACGTTGGGGGACTTCGGACCTTGGAATTGCGAAGAAAAACACTGTGATGATTGACGCATGTTAGAGTAGTTTACGAAGTTTCGACGCATGTCTCAGCTGCACGAAAAAGGCTGAAATACAAGCGCGCAGTGGTTGATCATAACACAACGTGGAGGATAGGGTTTAAGTTCCCGATGAGAAATTAGCAGGTAGAAACGCACTCATTCCCTAAATGGTATAAAAATAAATAAATAAAAAGGAAGTTTACCGATTTAGGTGTTCAAACTTCTTGAGTTTGCGGTTTCATCGATCTATGAAATGTTTTGAGTAAACGGGGTTACCTCAGCAAGAAATAGTTTTTTTTTCCCAGAGGAGGTGCAGCTGGGGAATGAAAAACTATTAACACTGTTCAAAGTGCTAAAAAGATCACTCTGAAAGGATGGCCAAGTGTATTTCAATAATGCCATTAGAACCAAAATTGATCATTTCTACCACTGATGAGAAGTGTTTTTCCAACAATATCAAAAGGCACGCACCGTGGGTAAAAATCCCATTTTCCAATGGGTTATAGTTATGTGTACTAGGCATAATCCCAACAATTTCCCTGAAAAATAAATCGCTTGTGAATTATTTATTGCTAAAAATATGCCTCGAGGGTGAATTTTTCTATTATTGATGTAATCCCGTCAGTGGTGTACAACCCCACAGCAATGAAAAATATACGCCAAAACGGTATTTACACGTTCATTGGTTAATGTATTCTCCTTTGCTGCTTCGGGCTCCATCAACTGTTTGACGTCGAAAGCGCATAAATGTTTATATAAATGATTGACATTAATATCCACGTGGATACAGGTAAATAAGGGCAAAAAAAAAAGACGGTGGTAGTTGCTTTAGATCCCCCCCAAAGCCCTTCCATGTATTGGGCATAGGCGTCAGGTTCGATTTTTTTCAGCGCAGATTCATTTTAGTAAGATACAAGAATGTGGGACCGCAAGAATAAAAAGCCATAGACATCAGATTGGATATCAGACCTTGTATAATGTTCATGGTAAACTCTCCTAAGAGAAAATTGTTCGCTTAGAACAGAGAACAAAAGAATACTGGGGTGGAAATCCCAAGTCCTGCTTGATTATCAGCTGATGCTAATCAATCCAAAAGAGAGAGAGAGAGACAGAGGTAAAGGTACAAATCCATGATGCGGACATTACTAATCGTCTTGCGCATATTAAAATGAAATGGGTATTTCTTCTAAGGCAAGGTAAGTAGACTGAACCGGAAAAATGTTGTTGAATAAGAATGAAACTAAACGCATCAACATCTGATGTCCCTCATTAGGTCTTCAGGCAGTTAATAGATGAATAATATCAAGTGAAAGCTGAAAACTATTTATTCCCACCTATAAAAACTGACAAATTATACCTTTTTGCTCTGTTTGAGCATCTTAAGCGTTAATAAGTACATGAAGTATTTAACTTTAGCTATGGTAGCGTGTGCGGTCGTACAAAAAAAGACAGAACTTTACTATATAAACATAGTAAAACAAAAAGTAAAACCATTTGGGGACTATACTTAGGGAGACTGAAGAAAAGTGAAACCTTGTTAGGTAAACTAATGGCATAATATCGATTTATCGTTACGATATATGTATATATATATTATGAAATCTCTACTCTTAAAGAGCATATATTATCAAATAATTTCTATATGGTGTAATTTATGTGCTTTCTATGATATCTATTTGATCACGATTCCCTGAAGCGGATCAGAAAGATTTATATGAAGTCCTCTATTTCAACTCTCAAAGACGAGTCCGAATAATATCCTCTTTGAGAATTGGTGATGTGTCCAATCGTTTGGTGGTCATAACCGATGATTTAACTGGGGTTTCAATATTTTCATTTCCCTGCTTCGAGGGCGAAGCCACCGCCACCTCACTCTCGCGGCTACAAGAATAGTATTCATAAGGCGAACGAAAAAGCATATCACGCTTTGTTTCTTTATGAGTAGCCATAAAATACTTATAACACGCGCGGGTATAATGTTGATCTTTACAGTCCGAAACAATATCTTCGATATCGGAAGCGCTAGGACGAACATTAGGGTAGTCTTTCCCGGCGGGATTTAGCCGTTCCCGTTGGAGGATGAGGCGTAAAGCGGCCTCATCGCGAAAGCGAAAAGGACATCCATGGCAGTCCTGATTGGACACATTGGGGGGAAGATCAATTATTGTCGCACACGAGGCAGAGGTGTAGCTTGTTTTTTTTCCTTCCATCCCGTAATTATGCCGTACATTATAGCCGTAGGAGGTATTGGCAAAGGCCTCCACCGATCCATCCCCTTTCTCGGTCATAAGGGTGGCGAAAAGTGCGAGGGAGTCCTCCATGCTGAGCCCAATGGCCTTCAAAAAGAGCCCGTACATAAATCGGCCGTGGTGTTTGAGGTGACCCTCACGGCGTAGATGGCTGTCGACTTGGGACATGCAAAGCGGAAAATGGGTGCGCGCGAGGCGCGGGACATCCCTGGCCTTGACGGCCTCCGCCGTTCCTTCCTGGAGGCTATCCAACGGGTTGGCCACAAAGTTATCCAGGAAGGTGTCCAACATGTGAATCACCGTGACCTTCACGGACTCGTCGTCGTCGAGATGCTGGAGCTTCATTCGATCCACATACGCGTCATGCAGGCCCCGGTTGAGCTCCCCGCGAAATAGCGTCAAAAGGACCTCCTTGACCTGTTCTCGGTGGAGAATCGCCTTCCCAAAACGACACAAAACACTTCGATTGTGAATCAGCCGGGTGGCAAGCTCAAGAGAAACCGCGTAATAGTCCTCGCTATTTGATTTTTTTTTGATAAAAATTTAGCACTATAATACCCGAAGTATTTGAAAATCACAGGGTCATTTTTTTGATCGTCATTAAGCGAACTACAGGGTAAATTGTTTTTCGTCATGAGATCCTCGATATAACCCACATTCGATTCTTTTTTCATCCGTAGTCTTGCGCAAAATAGTATTTCTTCCATTTTCAACAACCACTTCCTCCAACGTTCAGTCATACAAAATGCATAGCGGCATAATAAATGTGATAAGAGGTCTTCACCTTTCTCGAATGAAAATAAATCAATAGAATTATGAGATCCATTTTTGCCATTGTTTCTCGACCTAGAAGCCGCATCCTGAGCTGATGAATGATACTTGTCAAATGTGTTTGTGGCGGCATCATTAGGATTCTCAGATTCCGAGGAAGTGCCTAGACCGGGTCTCCTTGTTAAAGAGGGTATACTCGGAAGACGACCCAGAATTTTATCAATGATCTTATTACTATCTATTTGAGGAGAATTAGAAATTTTATCAATCCATGACAGAAAATCCATGCGTTTCACGACAAGCATCTCTAACTCAAAGAGGGTCTTGTTTCCATTAGGTCGATTCTTGTACAGAAATTCCCAATCCTCTTGGCTCTCAGGCGCGCGTGAAGTTTCCCTTTTGGGAGATGGACTATTAATCGTAATAACACCCATTAAACAGAAAAGTTAAGACAGGCTAAACAAAAAAAAGTTCAAAACCTTAATTAGAATCCTAAATGTTTACTTTTCATTTTTTCAATAATAATATTGCTCATGAAGGGGAAAGAATAATGAAAATTTAAAAATATTAAGTTCTTTGAACTCAAGTATGGGTCAAACATTGTTTCAAAGAGCTTTAGTCTTTTTACGAGATGCCTTTATTGATAAAATTTGCTGGAAAAATCACATGAGTACAATACTTAATTACAGACACCTTTTGTTATTAGTATCTTCAAGGCTCAGATTTTTTGGTTTCGGAAAAGTTACCAGTACTTGATGAAATGTGATAAATTTCAAATAAGATGATGAGAAAGTAGGCAAGCTACACCTTATGTTTTAATACAATCAGTACCAGAATGTGTTTGGGAAAACTCACTAAATAAAAATAAAAGAATAAAGTCTACATAAACGAGAATTAGTTTATCTAGGGATAATTTTTCAAAGTGGAAACCGTGGAAACGTTATTTTGGTGTAAATAGTTCAAATGTCATCATAATAACACATAGAAACATTTCAAAATGAATAAAAAGGACTGTAATTTTCAGCATTGAAAAGAGATTTTGATTCCTTTATTTTTCGTTCTTTCAGTGAATAATGTGCAAAAGAAAATTCATCCTCCCCAAAAGTGGCTCCCAATGCATTTACATTTTGATTATGCCTTAGTGGCTTGCCGACGCCGCACATTGTACCTTAAAGAAAATAAGGACGGCTCCCGTTCCAAATCATCATCACTTCCGGCTACTTGAGTTGTATAAACTTCCATTTCTTTGTCTAGCTTTGGATAATATTTACACACGATAAATTTGGCTTCAGTAACCAACTCCTGACGCTTCTTGTAGAGATTATTAAATTGTTTATGCTTTGCAATAAGTGACATGAAAAGGGGGAGAGCTGCACGTAGCTCCATAATAGCTTCTTGAAGAATAATCAAGGAAACATACAGTGCCATAGGAAGTGAAAAAAGAATCACAAGAGAGGTTCGTAAGTCAGTAAAGAAAAAGGTTAAAAATGTAATGAATAGAACAGCTAGGGGCACTAAGAAAAACCCAGCCGTGAGTTTTAGGGAACCCTTGACATCTGCGCCGACCAACTTGACTTTACTTTCCGATAGAGCCAGTTTAGCTTTCTTATTGGAATAGTACTTAATAATACATCCAATGGGCAGGCCAATAATAAAAAAAGGAATGAGTATAACACCCATTAAAAACAGCGCAAATGCCCTTCGAAGGAGCAGACGAATTTTCGCACCTTCCTTTCCAGGTTCAACGAGATGCTTGAGTGTCGCCGTCTGACTGTCCCGCACTAAAAGAGCGTCGCAAAGCTCATGATAGTTTGTAACTTTAGAACGAAACTCAATCAACTCCGGGTTATCCTTTTCCTGATCAATCAACGAACTAAGCCGACGCATAAGCAACAAGTAGTCCCCCGCCGATAGCATGCAGTTAACCGGTTGATAAAGCTGACGAAACGAGTGCAGGAAATTCAAAGTGCCCCAGTCCGGAACGTTAATGGTCACGGCCCGAAGGGCGTCATCGAGCTGGCGGAGGAACACCCCTGTGGCCTTGCGCTTATCGGTACTGAACATTGTCACCAGTTCCTCCGGGGGGGTGATGGGCTTGCCAAACTCCAGGTAGGCCCGACTGCGGAACTTGTGCCCGTAGCAGTAGGTCAACCCGCAGGGGACGATCTTCACGCTGATGTGGCGCTCGGCCGCACCCAAGGAGAACAGCGCCACCCCGGCCTTCAGAGGAAGAAGCGAGGTGTGATCATGGGAGCCGCCTTCGGGGAAGATCGTGATGCAGTGATTCTTCTGCAGCGTGTCATAGACATCGGCGTACATCTTTGAGTGATCAATCCGCCTCGAGACTTGGTAATGGGTGGGCTGAGAAAGGTAGTGGTCCGTTTGAATCGGAACGGTCACCTCGATCTCGGTGTCGGAATGAATGCGAATGATTTGGGCGGTGCATCGGTCATGAGGCGGTGCGGCCCACATAATCACATCACCTTTGCCAAGGGTCGTCGTAAAGTGTGTGTCCTCGCCGATCACCACAACGCCATCCATGCGCACAAGTCTCCCTTTACCGGGTGTTAGCGGGACATCCTGGGGACGGATCACCGGAACGGCGTTAAACATACGACCAAAAAAGCCGACTAATCCCTTAATATATGACTTTTTCGCCATGATAAAGCGAGGGTTTCTATCACAATTAGAAGCGATCATAAGCGCATCGATGAATTGATTTCGATGATTGCCATAAAACACTACAGCACCGGCTGGAGGTATGTTTTCCTCACCCACAATAGTGACTTCACGAAAATACACGTTCTTTAGGATCCACATGATGAACCCGCCAAACACCTGGATAATTGTCTTGTGGAAAGTGCTCACTTGTTCAACCAACATTACTCTGTCTAAGCGATCGCGGTGATCGGGCCACTCATCAATAGGTATTTCTTTCCCACATTCATAGCAAAACGTATACTTTGGGCGCCGCGGCATTTCATCAATATGGCTTTCCACGGTCACACTTGGTATCTCGTTATCACATTGACTGTTTTTTTCGGATTCCAATGTCGAATCGTCTTCTAAAGGCATTTTTTTTTGAGAATCCATTTTATTTGAAGTATCGCGCTCGATTCGAGAGGACTGCAATTCGGCATCTGAAGAAGTGACAAATGACATATTACCATCAACATGCTTTAAAGACGCATCATTCAAATTAAATTTGACTGACTTTTCTTTGGGGTCAGACATGCTAGTACTATTATATAAGTATGCTTATTTTTCAATGTAAAAAATATGTTCTCCATTCACAATAATAGGAAGAGAATGAAATCAACGACTAAGCAATAAAAGTCAGGGAAATATAAGCTTTCACAATGATAGAAACACCCATTGTATCTATCGATCAAATTAATCAGCGCAAAAAGTACCTTTCAGTTTTAGTGCATTTGGTTACTACAGCAATGGTAAATGAAGCATATCGTAAAATCAATCTTAACAGCAGTAGCAACTTCAATGCAGTGGAACATAGACCAGGGAAATAAATGTAAGCCCTAGGATTATCACTTCCATCTCTTCTCCACACCAACAAGGCGCTGTTTAGAGAGGCTATTTGCTACCATCTTTTTACCTATCAGTGATACCCTTCGATTTGGATCGTGACTGACTGTAAGCCATGAAGTTTTACAGAATACCATATCGTTTTCTACAGTAGCAAGAATGCAAACAAGCAAGTAACGAATATTACAGGCCGCAACAGAATTATCTGCACAAAGAAGACGGTAAAGACCCCAAAGGATTCTCACTCCGAGAGATTTTGCAGATAAAACGGGCACCACAAGAAAACCATCACATAGAAGATGTAAAAGATCAGTTGTTTCGGCAGCTCTATGAAGTGGGCTGTTTCGAACGGCAATAATTTCAATCAATCTGATAGTGAGAGTGAAGAGCATATTAAAGCTACACTTCACACCAGGAGTGAACAAAAGCTCCTCAAGAAGATTGTTAATCATGACAAGTGCATGGCCTGGTTCAGTGCGTCCCAAAAATACAAGTGAAGTGATCAAATCTGGGCACACTCTGCTAATAAAGGCTCTCTCTCTCTCATTGGTAACACCTGAAAAGGAACATAAATTATGTGAAAGATTTGCAATCAGCTTATTACAAGTTCCTTGAGGTAATTTTTCATGGCTATAACGAATACAGTAAAGCGAAAGACGCCAAAGTACATTATAAATTCTTACACTCGATTCCTCTCTCAAGAGGAACGGTACAGTCATTATGATATCCTCAATAGTACGTTGAAGTGAGTTTTCCACACTATTTTCAGCTTGAAGGATAGTACTAATAACAGCACTTGGCAAGGCTGAATCTTCTTCAGCCATCTCCAACATGCATTGTATAATTTTCACAATGAGCGCGTAGATCTCATTGAAATCTGCATACTCAAGGTCGTAGGTAAGTTGAGTGGCAAATTGATGCGATGCCTCATGTGATTCATAAAATAGGAAAGGATAAAAGTACCAGAAGAGATCTAGTGAAATAAAAGCATTGTAGCATTGCTGCAACTGGTGCGCTGATATTTCATAACCCCACACTCTCTGTATCCGATACACTGCACAAGCAAAGATAATTCTGAAAAATGCCTCCCTTGCCCCGACTGTGCTGGATTTACGATATAAGTCATGAATACTGTGCAAAGCGCCACTGCCAAGTTTGTCAAACTCATTTTCATTCAGAACAAAGTATTGACCTTCATCGGTCTCATGTTGGCAGAGTAAACTTTTTGCGAAGGCTACAGCCAATGCTCCAAAGATCGTTGGATTATGTGATGCTAGCGAGGAAATACGCAGAAATTGAAGAAGCGCACGACAATCAATAAGGTGCCTTTGAGTACTAGGAACCATCGCTAAGACACACTTCGCGGCAACCTTCCAAGTGGTATCATCGTAAGGTTTAAGAAGTGTTTGGCGACTCACCACATTAAGAAGAATCCAAATTAACTCCCTCTGTAACGCCTCAGTGCATCCTGGATACACCGCTCCCCTCGTATCAACAAGTTGGAGGTGCATCCCTAACGTTAGCAAAAGATCGTAAACGTTATTTCGAACACAAAAATAATCACTCTCCATCCACTCAAACAAGGTGGGCAAATAGCACACACTCACCATCCGAAGAAGAGAATATGGAGGCCCAAATGGCAGCTTGGCAACATACCCATCACAGATTTGCTTGATCAAAATGCCTGTAGCCTTGATAACTATCGTATTGCTTCGAAAATGATCCCAAAAGTGCGTGAGGAGTCCAATTTGCTGTCCAATAAATTTGTCAGTGCATACAAGTGGGAACTGGTAAACGTAATCCTTACAGTTAGCACTAGTATTAATAATCTTACTTTCGAATGGGAGCGGGTTTATTGGAGTTTCGATAGCATCGTTGTTTTCTACAGGAAATTCAACGAACTTGAGTTTTTTCTTTGAATGATCTACAGGACATTGAATTGAAAATTTGACGATGTATGCGGGTGTTGGCCATACGTTGGGTAATGTTTTTTGAGCATTCATTGGTGCTCTCAGCAAAGACTGAAGAGAAACATGACTGTGATAGGTTTCCACAAGGGCATATAGTTCCTTATATATGTGTGAATAGGATGTTTTCTTCAACATAAAATCTTCGCAACTCACCAGTACTTTTTCAAGCGTCTTTTTAGAGGGTGGAAAACTAGGCATGGTATGTAACATCAGGAGCCCGAACTCTTTTCGTCTTGCTTCTTCTTCAGCATGCTTCAAACAACACAAATACACGACATCGCGTGTTTCCTTTGAGGTGAGATATGGAATTAACTCGGCCTTTAGCTCCTGTTGCTCTGGTAAGCGAAAGAGGAAGGAAGCCTCTAGCACAGCGGAGGAAATAATTTCTGGTCGATGCATATACTTTATCCCTCTACTTTTTTTGCTTAGTCAAAGCTATATTCGCAATAAAAAAAATCGATTCAAGGAATAAGGAATTTTATCATTTACTCACCCATTATTTATATTGTGCTTTAATATAGAAAGTGAACTCTAATAAATTGTAATTTTTTAAATCAGCTAGACGACTGAAATAGGGATTTTTTTAAGAACAAAATTTTACTTCCCTAGACATGTGAACACCTTCTTACGAGAAGGACAAATCAGCAACAAAATGAAAGCGTTTTGGAGAATACGATTTAACACGTCGAAGGTCTTTCAATTTGGCAAGAGAGGCCATAAAATCTCCAAGCTCTTCTCTGAGATGTGAAAAAACTACTTCATGTACGTTTGTCTTATCGGAAAGAAAGTGGTAGTGAATAACTCCGAGAGGAACGCCACTGTCACTTTTCCTAAGAAAAAAAACAGCACGCTTGATAAATTTTTTGCAGCAAGGAATATAGCCCATAAAAACACGGTCGCAACGACCTTCCAACTCGTCTCCAATAAGCCGATTGTCACCACATTCAGGCTTCACGATGTGACTCACAGAATTCTGTATAGCATTTAGTTTCAGAAAAGCAACACTGTCTGGATTTTTTTCCAAAGCATGCACCTCAGAAGGGGATCCATGCATCGCTATTGGTATAGAAAAATAACCAATGCCCGCAAACATGTCAACAACAATCTCATTTGAGGCATCTACACTGGCAAAATGCATCCTTTCTGTTGTGTTTCCACTTGAAAACATGACTTTTTGCACATCAAAACTATAATGAACTCCATTTTCTACATGAACTGTCATAGTTTCAGATTTAAAGTAATTTTCCAGAAGATGCAACTCTTGTTCTGGAACATAAGAACTAACACCTTTAGAGCGAGATTCACTCCACCTTTTCAAGATGAGATTCCAACTTTTTTCTAAATACGAAGGAAAGCCAGTGCTTGGTGCGCTGTAAACAATTATCAGAGTTGGAATTCTCAGCTCTCCCTTGATTCCATTTGTGTCGACTAGAACCACGTCAATTATAATAGGTAGAAATGATTTAGCAAAAGCCTCTGCAAAAGGAGCGAATTGTTCAACAGTGATATCTGGATTCATCCGAGCTACAACTACATGCCCATGAGCTTCATATTTACGAGGAAAGATTCGTTTTGCGTCAATTAAAGAAGCACTAGGAAGTTGGATTTTTATAAAATCCATAAATATGTCGATTTTTTGAAGGGCTATACCCTTTAATTTTTGTTTCACATACTCGTTCTTTTTGTTACCTCTAATCGATTTCTTAGAAGTTTTTTTGTGACATCGTGCAATAAAATTCTTTAAGAAAATCACTAAAAAAAATAGAGCAAGTATGCACCATAATCGAGGAACACCCATTATGTAGATAAATCTTTCTTTTTTGTATCTGAATATTTTTTAAATATGGCAAGGAAAAGAACAAATTTTGCTAGATTTGCTAACAATAATAAAGTTGAATTCAATGGTTATTGTGACAGGTTTGATATTTCACGATTTTCCTTTCCTTCAAAAAGTTGATAATATGAAGCAAAAAAATATATTAAGAGTGTATAGTGTAAGGCTTCAAAAAGATTTACTTTCTTTTTTGAAAGGAAGCTTTTAATATAGCCAAGACATGTGTACTTATATTTGGTCAGTTTAACGTATCCTTTTCTAAAGTAATGTGTTTAAAAGCAAAAGGTTTTGTAAATGGACGATATACTTTTTGTCACTTACTTTTAGATCTAATAGGTTTACAACCTATTTGAAAAAGTTTTAAGATTATCCACAACACTCTCCTGCTGTAGAACAGCTCTCAAGGGATGTTAGTAGGCATCCCTTCACGCTCGCAAAAAAAAATGTGGTAAAATAGTTTGAGCTTCGATTAGCAATAAATTCAACTTGATGATACACCTTTACATTAATCAAATAGAAGTTTATAATGCACACTATTGTTTCTTAAATACACAAATTTGGATGCATGCATATATAGATATACAAAAAAAATATGTAAAAATTTTTACGACTCAAAGCGCATATCATGCTACTCCCCTTATATTCTTCTGTCTCAAAATGAATCTTACAATGATTCCCTATTAGTTCTCAAAACGCAATGACCAAATGAAGAATCTGATATTAAACAACGCCTATCATATGTGATATTAAAAATAAAGAAAAATAGCGCGAACTTCAAAGGGGCACAATTATTTAGAATAAAAATATAGTGACACTTTGTACTTCAAAGAAGGTACTGTATCTTAGAATCATTTGAAATATTTGTGCTCAAAACAAATAACAGAAAATTAAAAGTATTTCCGTTTAAGTAACCATTGACAATATCTAGTTTAACTGATTTTTATAGATAAAGTCATAATTGTTATTATAATCTTCATATGAAATAAAAAATATTTGCTAAAACATGTGGCAGGGCGGGTACATTCATTTAAAAGATCAATAATCAAAGATGACTCAAAACTATAAAAAAAAGAGGGTCAAATCCATTTAAATATTTTTAGATATTTTAATTATTTTAAGTTGATCAAATTATATTCGTAAAATGATCTAAAATAAAAATAGAAAGAAACTTCCCCTCTCTATGATTAGACTCTAAAAATAATAAAGGATTCGTAATCAAATTAATATAAGCTATATTGCTAAAAACTGAAACACTAAGAAGGATCCCAATAATCTTGCTTCATAGATTTAGTAATAGCCATATCCATAATATTTTTTATGTGACTTGTTACAGAACGTTGAACTGATTCCAGATTATCTGGAATTTCGTATAAACGATATACATCTATCCAGTCAACCTCTTTATCGATACCATGGTCTGGTGAAACCTGCATTTTTACTTCTTTAATATTTACGTCTACAACAATTCCCGTGACAATAAGAGATGTTCCCAATAATAGATAACAGCATTTTTTCCCTAAAGCTAGCTTTCCTAGCTTTCGGTCGATCTTGTCAGCTATTATAAGGGGAATCAAACCCAAAAGCGAAAGATCAAAATCAACAAATTTCGACAAATACACACCTTTCTGTGTACCTCTTGATATGAGTTCATATTCCATAGAAAGACTTGAGGGCTTATTTAAAGCAAAGTCATTTATTTCCTTTTTAATGCGTATACGCTTCGGAGGGGGTACTTCCTTCTCGTCATCATCTGAGAAAGTCATTGAGGTTGAAGTTGATCGTGCTTCGATTTTAGTGAATTGAGTAATTCCATCAGGAAAGTTAGTCTCGATTCGGGGTGATTTCTTTTCATATTCATCGAGTTTCATGAAAAAGTTTAGCTCAGGAAAAGATAAGCCTGAAGACTGGGAAGGCCCATTCATACGTTTGGGAAGGCGATCCCCATTACGTGCCCCAAAGTTCCTTAAAAAATCAATAAACTCAAGAAGTGGAACAAGATGCTTACGATCAGCTTCGCTAGCTGACATGTCTCGAAACTATCAAAGAAGGAAGGAGGAAAATAATAAACTTTACACTCAAAAAAATAACACGTAAAAGGAATAGAACCACACGACCCCCACCCCCAACCCTCCACCGCAATTTATGTAGACAGCAAGCGCTCTTATTTTTGCAATGATGCATTGAAATCCTAAATCGGAACCAAAGTTGAAATTTTTTTTGGATTAGCAAAGAAAATTAAAGATTAAAATCATACACCTAAAATAAAATT